CGAGATTTTTTCCCAGCAATATTATATCGATATTCAAAAGCCATGTATCGGAAATATCGATATGGTAATATATCGTGATTTTTTTCCTGTGATTATTACATCGATATTCAAAAGCCGTGTATCTAATTCTTGAAAGAATTTACATGCAAACTTTAGTGTATTTTCTTTTCATTTTGTGCAATTCAATCGCCACCCGCTAGGTGGCAGCAGTGTGCAACGGATTTTGTTTCCACCATTTAACTGTAAATCCCTCCATCATGGTTCAGATACCTCATGTTAAACATGTTACGTATCAGTTTGGACCGTTTATTGAACATTCTTACAATAAATTCAGTAAAAAAAATTGCTTGTAACGTCTGACTGAATGTATCGCAATATATCGTGATTCATCGTATCGTCTCCCCTGTATCGTGATATGTATCGTATCGCCAGAATTTCAAAAATACACATCCCTGGTTAAAAGCTAATTGCAGCAGAATACAGCGAGTCATCAGGTAAAAGTGATTTTAATGATTTAATGTGTGTGTGTGTGTGCACAAGCTTTAACAGGAGGACGGCACTTAATGTTAGGCGTTTTTTCATTAAACTGCAGCAAAATAAAATGTGAATTAATTTCTTTTATTCAGTAAAGTCTGGGTTCAGCAGCTTCATCAGTGCAGCTGAGGGAAGCAGCAGCTCAGGAGGTAAAGCAGGTTTTCCAGGAATCGTTAGGTTGTAGGATTGACTGATATAATTATTTGTGTGGTATCAGTTTAAGCAGACTGTGACAGTTTGGGTTAGGGTTAGCTAACTTACTATTGTTATTTAGATGAAGATCAGATCACATTTTATGACCAATTTCTGCAGAAATCCAATAATTCCAAGGGTTCACATATGTTTTCTTGCAAATGTACAAGTGTGGGTCATTTATCTTTGTGTCCTCCTTTGAGCATTTTTCAATTTGTTTAAAGCAAGAAATATGAATTTTCTTCATTCAACAACATTTTGCAGGCAAAGCTGTTCAGAAATGTTGAAATGCAAATAAAGAGAAATGAAGCAAAGTTTCCTTCAGTGGTTTGAAAACCTGAACATGTACAGTCAAGACAGACTGCTCTGATTAAAATCACCCATGACATTTTGATGGAATCAGACTCCGGTCTCGTTAGCATGTCACTGCTAGTTAGCATGTCACTGCTCTTAGACTTGACGGCAGCGTTTGACACAATATCACATCAGATTCTTCTAAAGCACCTATCCTCCCATTGGCATGCGTGGGACTGCACTTTCATGGTTCAAATCGTACCTTTCTGGCCAAGCAATGTCATTGAAATCTCACCTCACGCCCATTCAATGTGGGGTCCCTCAGGTTTCAGTTTTGGGCCCGATTTTATTTATCATCTACATTCTACATCCCACTAGGAGAGATCTTTGGAAATATAATGTAAACTTTCATTGTTATGCAGATGATACTCTACTGTGTATACCTTCTTTATCGGTTGCGTCGCTACCTATTACGACTATAACAAACTGCTTAAGTGAAATACAGACCTGGTTTGCTCATAATCTCTTGAAATTTAATGGTATTCAAACAGAACTCCTCGTAGTTGAAACCAAATCAAAAACTGTCAGCAGTGGCGGCTGGCCAGTAGAGGGCGATAGGGCGCCGCCCTCCCAGTTTTCCCCAGTGTTTTTAATTATTTAAAAAAATTAACAATAATCACATATTCTAAGTTAATTGTGTGTTTTGTAACAAAAACAAATCATATATTTATATATCTTTATTGATGAGAAGCTCTCTGGCGAGCGGTGGAGGCGACAGAAAGGCTGTGGACTGTGTTTCAATCGCCCAAACAGCACGGAACCAGCCGACCAATTGCTGACAAGAATATCAAAGGGTAGGAATGGGAATGTATCCAATCAGCGTCGATGTTGTTTCAGAAGCATGATGGGCGATAGAGCTACCGCCAAAGGATTCGTTGGTGTTCGGTAGAACTCGGCAGAGTCGTTTTTGGTTGTGACGCAGATGTAACATGGACGCCGCCAGTGAAACCAGCATGGATACCGGATCTCAGCAGCCACTGAATTCAGTTTGGTCTCTTCTCCAGTATCCGTTCGAGAGGAGAACTATGGTGGAAAAACTTAATGTCAAAGAGCTTGGACCAGATCAGCCCGACGTAAAGATAAGCCAGCAGGAGAAGGAGAAGGGTAAACTGTACACACGAGGCTTCTCCCGAAATTGGTACACCAGGAAGGCTAGGCTAGCTGGATGCAATCACGCCAATGCGTTATTTTGCTTTCCGTGTTTGTTATTCAAAACGGCTGGGACAGATAAGGCATGGATTGAGTCAGGAGTTACGGACATGAAACATTGCAACTAGAGATGAGCACAGGCTTGCAGTGAATAAACACAATGAAGAAGTGGATCAGAACCGGCACATTTTGTCCAAGAGAGAGATGTCAACACAGTGTATGAGCACAAGGATGACCTCCTCAGATTTTTCCAGATGATCAGAGACTCGGA